CCCGAGGGAAACAAGCCGTGCAAATTTGAATATAACCATATTACGCTCCCAAGTTGAAAATCCACATCTTTGTAAGGATACTTCAGGAACATGACTGCTAAAATTCGGCAATGTAGTAAGCGCCTCAGTTTGCTTGCGGCTATTGGTGCACAAATTGCATTCCCTACCTTATTTAGGCACCCTAACGTTACACTTATTGGTTAACTAATAACAGGTACTTTGGATATAAATTTTAAATTCGTGAATAATTAGCAACAATGGCACTATTATTGCGTGTATTGTTAAATAATCTCGTATTTTTCGTGCACTTTTTGTACAATTTTGCATGTGAATAGTTGAAATTGCCCATTATGCCGAACTTCGGTTGCAAATGTCGAATGAACGAAATTCGCTGGCTTGTGCATTACGTTATTTCAGAGAAGAAATTAGTGCGAAAATTGTTTGCCACAAGCCTCATTAATCCAAGTGGTAAATGGATTGGTTAGTTGAGAGTTAAGGTGTCCACATAAGTTAGACAATGCAGTTTGTGCATCAGTGACCACAAGTGAACAGAGCAGACTGCTTCTCTTTCTTCACTGTTAAATTTTGTCAGTTACATTCCAAAATTTTCCGTGTAGAGATTAGAAATTTGGCCTTAGCAATGTGATGCGTTTCACTTAAGCTTGCATGATCGTCTACGATCTTGCACCATTCGATTGTCAAGTATATCATACGAGTAAAAACAAATTTATGTAATTTTCATGGCCTTATGAGTGAGTTAAACTGACTTAACCAACCGAAGTACCAATAAATAAACTTCGGAACCACGTAAAATTATCAGCTGTTGAGCGATTATTTAGCATTCTTGCCACTATCATTGCTTAGAACCGTTAGTAGTGAGCATTAAATTCGTGAATAATTAGTAACCTAATTTCGATTTACAACCTCTTACAACTGGCTATTATTCGAGTAGTCAGGAATAAATATCAACACCGAGAAAAATTGGAAGCCAAAGTGCAATCAGTTGACATTCTTGGAACTAAATTAAAGTAGTATTCACTGCGATAGTACCACTAATGTCAACATACTTCCACTTAATTTTATCAATCATTCTGTCAATGTGTCTTGCACATACCAGCAATTACATTTTTAATACTATTTTTAATTACATAGACCCTTGCAAGCCGAAATTACATGCCGATTGGCCGTAGGGGTTGTAAATTTTATTAAAGAATAATATAAAAGTCTATGTGCTATTCAAGTAGCAATGGACGCTAATAGTTAGAAATATCCTCATGTTATGGCTCAGTAGGAAAGGGATAAACAGGAAAAATGCTTTGCTAAATGTATTGACACATTCCGGAGAACAATATTCGATGGGGTTAATTTAACAACACTAGTGCCATTTCAGTAGCTGAACCTGAAATTTGTTCCTTTAAAGCGAAGGCTGTGATTGTGGCTTTGCTATCGCCGTGGCTGTTTGTTATGCTGCTTACTTTAATGGAACGAGTCAAATGATTACCGCTTGTCACACTGATGATCAGAGTCATACCCGAGTCCAAAGAATAATGAATTTTGACTTACTCATTTATATCCTGTGATTTAATCCGCTTTTATACATAGGCTTTTGCTATACCATAGTCATTTTTATTCTTTAGGCATAAAATCGCACATAGGTGTACAACCGACGTGGTGTTTAAACAAACGTTTAATGCCACTACTCCATTAATCACTAATTTCAGTACAAGTTATCAATAGCAGTTGCTGAATAGGCCGTGATAAATTACCATTTACGATCGCGTTGAATTAATGGCGGCAGATATTAAGATTTTGTTGTTTAATTTTTCGGGGGAAAAATTTCACTGCATATTATTTATAAGTGTGTATACATTATCTTTTGCCTTTTTTAAGCAAATGTTTCGATCATGTTGTCAATTTCTCTTAATGATCGAAAGTAGGAGGAGTCGAAACCCAGAAAGAACGACCTCAAGAACAAATGAAGATGGTCATATAAATGGGTGGTATTACTGCGTGTCACTGCTCTCACATATGCACACCCGTGAAGAGCAGCAAAGAACCTTCAAAATCACCCCACCTTCTGCAATTGTGACACAGCTGGAAATTTATTATTCGTGGCTACTTTATTTAGGAAGTGGGTAAAATCTGATGCAATGAAATCACCGCTGGAGTGGGCAAGTAGTCATTGTGGCAAGTTACATTTGATTATACCTTGAGTACAAAT